TGCGCAACTCCACTCCGTACCAGACATCTCGTCCCGCGTGTTGCAGAGCACGGCGAACGACGATTTTGGGTGCTCCATCCACGTGGGCCACGGCGAGCCGATCGCGTTGTAGGTGGTGATGTAGCGCCCGGCCGAGGCCATGCGCGGCCCCTCGATCAGGCCGGCGTTGATGGCGTCGCGAACGGCTACCGAGATGTTCCAGGTAGAGCCGGGGTCGGAGAACGCGGTGACGCCGGCGCGCAGCACCTTGCGCGCGTTGTTGGCGGCGCGCAGCGTCCGGTACTCCACGCCCGCGTAGAGGTCGAGCTCCTCGAACGACAGGATGTCGCCGTAGGAGATATGGCAGTGGCCGTCGATCATGCCCGGCATGACCGTGCGGCCGGCGGCGTCGATGGTCCGGTAGCCGCCGAGAGTCTCGGCCGCGGCCGCGACCTCACGGTCGGGGCCGATCTTGCGGATGCGGTTGCCCTCCACCAACACCGAGACGCCGTCCTGCGGCGCCGCGCCGGTCCCGTCGAGCAGCCGCCCGCCGGTGATCAGATATCCGCCCATGTGCCAGACCTCCCTGCTCTCCCGCGCTCGCCCGACCCGCGCCCAACGGGGCCGGCCGGCGCGCCGGGGCGGGTTTGGATTCGCCCCTCGCCCTCTGTACGATCGGCGGCATCTTGTGGCAACCGCACAGCCGGGGAGACTAGGGCATGAGCAGAGTGGGCGTCGCGTTCTCGGCAGCGCTGAACGCATCCGAGATCGTCGAGTGCGCGCAACTCGCCGAGTCGCTCGGCTACGATTCGGTGTGGATGGCGGAGGGGCACGGCGGCGATCAATTCGCGGTGCTCTCTGCAGTCGCGGCACAGACCGAAAGGGTCAAGCTCGGCACCTGCATTTCGAGCGTCTTCGTGCGCTCGGCGCCCACCATTGCGATCGCCGCAGCGGTGGTCGATCAGCTCTCCGGCGGCCGCTTCATTCTGGGCTTAGGCTCAAGCCACAAGGTCCAGGTCGAGCCGGAGCACGGCCTGCCCTATGCCAAGCCGGTGACGCGGGTGCGGGAAACCGCCGAGGTGGTCCGGCAGTTGTTGCGGGATGGCCGCGTCTCTTATCGGGGCGAAACCGTCACGATCGAGAACTACGAGCTGTGGTTCCAGCCATTCCGCCCCAACCTGCCCATCTATTTCGCTGCCGTCTTCCCCAAGATGATCGGGGTCTGCGGGGAAGAGGCAGACGGCGTGATCCTGACCCGCAGCACACTCGATGTGGGAGCGGACGCGCGCCAGCACATTGCCGCCGGAGCCAAGGCGGCGGGACGCGACCCCGGCGCGGTCGACGTGACCTCCCTCCTCCCAACCGCGGCAGCCGACGATCCGGCGACGCGTTCGACGCGCTGAGACCGGGCGTCGCCATGTATACGGGCTTCTTCCCCCGCTATAACCGGATGGCGGTGGGACCAGGGTTTCGGCGAAGAAGCAGCGGCGATCGCCGAGGCCTGGTCGCGCGGCGACCGCGAAGCCGCGACCCGTGCGGTAAGCGATGAGCATATCGACTCGGTCTGTATCGTCGGCACGCCCGAGCGCTGCCGGGAGCGGATCGCGGCCTATCACGCATCTGGCGTCGACCTGCCGATGATCGCGCCGATGGCTGCCGGCCCCAACGCCAATGAGGTGGTCCAAACCACGATCAGGGCCTGCGCCCCGCGCTAAGCGGAGGCGGGCTGGCCGTTACCAGCCGGCGAAGGCGGCAACGTCTTCGTCAGAGACCTTGCCCGCCGCCACGTCCTCCAGCGCCTGGTCGAGGATGGCGAGCCCCTCGTCGATCTCCTCCTCGGAGATGGTCAGCGGCGGGGTGAACTCGAGGACGTTAGACTCCATCCCGACGTAATAGAAGATCAGCCCGAGCTGGTGAGCGCGGAAAGCGACCTTCGCCGTCTCTGAGCTTGCGGGCTCCTTGCTCACCGGGGTCGCGGACGAGCTCGACGCCTAAGGTCAGGCCGCGCCCGCGCACATGCCCGATCAGCGCGTGGCGCTGGGCGAGCCGGGCCAGCCCCGCCTGCATGTGCTCGCCCATCAGGGCGGCCCTGACCATCAAGTCCTCTTCCTCTATGTGCGCAGCACGGCGCGGCCGGCGGCTGCGCACACCGGGTTGCCGGCCGCCGTCATGATGGCAAAAGCAGGCTGAAGGTTCATCAGCTCCGCCGGGCCGACCACAGCCGAGATCGGCAGCCCGCCGCCCAGCCCCTTGCCGTAGACGACGATGTCGGGGCTGAGCCCCTCGGCCTCGAACGCATGGTAGAGGCCGGTCCGCCCCACCCCCACCTTGACCTCGTCCACCACGATCAGGATGCCGTGGGCCCGGCAGCGTTCCTCCAGACCCTTGAGGAATCCGGCAGGCGGCACGATACGCGCCCGTCCGATTGGATCGGCTCGATGAAGACGGCGGCGATCTCGTCCGGCCGAAGCTCGCTCTCGAAGCGCCGGTCGAGGTCGGCCAGGGGCGCCGGCGACCAGATCGGGGCCGAACTGAGGGCGGTAGGGATCGGGATAGGGCAACCGGGTCAGGCCAGGTCGCGCGGGCGCGTGTGTTTGGGAGCTGTGGCCGGACACCGACATCGAGGCGGCGCTGCCGCCGTGATAAGCGCCGACGAAGGAAAGGATGCCGCGGCGGGGCGACGCGGCCTCGAGCAGGCGTACCACGGCGTCGTTGGCGTCGGAGCCGGCGTGGCCGAACCAGACTCGCCGCTCGCGGTCGTCCGGAAAGTGCGCCAGCAGGTCCTCTGCAAGTGCGACGGCGTGGCCGACGGCGCAAGAGGCGAGGCTCACCGCCCCCATGTCGCTCGCGGCCTTGCTCACCGCCTCGGCCACCGCCGGGTGGCTGTAGCCGAGGCTCGCCGCACCCCACGAGGCGCTGAAGTCGAGCACGCGCCGGCCGCCCTCCTCAACCACGTAGGAGCCCGCACCCCCCACGGCGGTTGCCGGAAAGAAGCGAAGCCGCTCGATATCGGCGATGGCACGCCCGTCGCGGGTCATCAGGTCTTCGGTCATGGCTCGATCCTGGCGTTGCGTCTCACAGGCTCTCTATCGGCTCGCGTTTCAAATCGGCGGGAGCACGTCCCGCCACGGATTGGCCGCTTCATAGGCCGCCGCGGCCTGGAAGACGCTCAGATCGTCGTAGGTCCGCCCGACGATCTGAATCCCGGTGGGCAGGCCGGCGTCGGTCAGGCCGCTCGGCACCGCGATCACCGGGCACTGGCTCACCATGTTGAAGGGGTAGCAGAGGTTCCAGCCCAGATAGGCGTGAACCGGCTTGCCGTTGACGCGAAAATCCTCCGCGCCGCAGTCGTGCTCGGCGGCGACCGTCGGCACGGCGAGCGACGGGCAGACCAGCACGTTGCAGTCCTCGAGGATCGGGGCGAGCGAGCGGTACATCGCGCCGCGCACGATGTTGCAGCGGTAGAGAGTCTCCGCCGAGTGCGCCCGGCCGTTCTCGATGATGCGGACCATGTAAGGGTCCATCTCGTCGCGCCACTCGTCGAGCATGCCGCCGAGGCTCGCCGCCGCCATGCCCTCCCAATAGCGAAGATAGGGATGGGGCAAATCGAACCCGGACCAGTCCGGACTCACCTCGCGGATGGTGCAGCCGAGGCGGCGAAAGACCTCGACTGCCGCATGGGTGTTGCGGGCGACCTCGGGGTCGATCTCGAACATCCCCAGGTCCATCGAGAACCCGATCGTCCAACCCGCGATCGGCGGATAGCTCGCGGGCAGCTCCACCCCTTCCCTGAGCGAGCACATGTCGTCGCCGTGGCGCCCGACATCACGTTCTGCATGAGCGCGGCGTCGCCGACGCTCCGCGCCATCGGCCCATAGTGGAGCAGCGATTCGATAGGATGATCGCGGTCCAGCGGGTTGCGCCCGAACGGCGGCTTGTAGCCGACGACGTGGCAGGCTGCCGCCGGAATGCGCACGGAGCCGCCCGCATCGGTGCCGTCGGCGAGCATCGTCATACCCGCTGCGAGCGCTGCGCCGGCGCCGCCCGACGAGCCGCCGGGAGCATGGTCCAGGCTCCAGGGGTTGCGGGTGACGCCCCACAGCGGGCTCGCCGTGATCGGCGCGTAGGCGAACTCCGGCGTGGTGGTGCGCGCGTGCATGATGGCGCCGGCATCGAGCAGGCGGGCGACGGTGGGCGCGGTATGCGTGGGCCTGTTGTCGGCGAAGGCCTTCGAGCCGAAGGTCGTGAGCTCGCCCGCCACCGGGTGAAAGTCCTTGATGGCGACCGGAATGCCTTCCAGGGGCCGCGCGCTTCCGCGCCTGTAGGCGTCCTCGGCCGCACGAGCCTGGTCGAACGCACGCTCGCTATGGATCTCGGTGAACGCGTTGAGTACCGGGTTGACGGCATCGATCCGCGCCAACGTGGCTTCCATGAGCGCGACCGGCGACAGCGTCCCCGCCTTGAACGCGGCAACCGCCTCGGTGGCGGTCATGGTGGAGAGCTCTTGGGGGGTCAAGGCCACTCTCATCGCCCGGCCATACCGTGCCGTCTAGCCGCGAGCCCCGCCGTAGCGCCGCTCACGGCGCTGAAACTCGCCGATCGCCTCGTCGAGGTGCTCGAGCGTGAAGTCGGGCCAGAGCGTCGGCACGAACACAAGCTCCGTATAGGCCGACTGCCACAGCAGGAAGTTGCTGAGCCGCTGCTCGCCGCTGGTGCGGATCACCAGATCGAGGTCCGGCAGGTTGCGGGTCTGAAGGTGGCGCTGGAACGTCTCTTCCGAGATTTGGTCGGCATCGAGGTCGCCGTCGCGGACCTGCTCGGCGATTCGGCGGACCGTATCGACGATCTCCTGCCGCCCACCGTAGTTGACGGCGACCGTGAGGGTGAGCGTCGCGTTGTGCCGGGTGCTCTCCTCGGCCTCGGAGATAAGGGCGTTGATCTCCTTGCTCAGCCGCGAGGGGTCGCCGATGAAAGCGATTTGAACGCCGTTGCCGCGCAGGTCGGCGACCTCGCGCCGCAGGTAGAGGCGGAGAAGGCCCATGAGGTCCTCGACCTCGCCCACGGGCCGCTTCCAGTTCTCGGACGAGAACGCGTAGATGGTGAGATAGCGAATGCCGCGGCTCGAGCAAGCCTTTGAGGATCTTTCGCACGACCTCGGCGCCGCGCCGGTGGCCTGCCGCTCTCGGCAGGCCCCGTGCCCGCGCCCAGCGCCCGTTGCCATCGAGGATGATGCCGACGTGCAGGTAAGGGTCCTGCCGGTCGGCGAAAGACCGCGCGAGCGCCATGTTTAGACCTGCAAGATCTCGCGTTCCTTGGACTCGAACATCTCGGTCATTTTCTTGACGAACCCGTCGGTCATCTCCTGTATCTCGGTCGCCCACAGCCGCGATTCGTCCTCGCCGAGGTCGCCCGCTTTTTCCATCTTCTTGAGCTGGTCCATGCCGTCGCGCCTGACGTTGCGCGCCGCGACCTTCGCCTGCTCGGCATACTTGGCGGCAACCTTGGCGAGCTCGCGGCGGCGCTCCTCGTTCAACTCCGGAATCGGGATGCGGAGCGACTGACCGTCGACGATCGGATTGAGCCCGAGATCGGAGGAGCGGATCGCCCTCTCGACTGCCTTCACCTGAGTCTTGTCCCAGACCTGAACGGAGAGCATGCGCGGTTCGGGGATATTGATGCTCGCGACCTGGTTGAGCGGCATCTCGGTCTCGTAGGCCTCGACGACGATGGGCTCCAGCAGGCTCAACGATGCGCGCCCCGTTCGGAGCCCGCCCACTCCTTCCGCAGGGCCTCGACGGCACCGTTCATCCGGCGTTCCAAGTCATCAAGATCAGGATCGGCCATCGCGACAGCCCTGGTCCGATATGATGGTGAAGGGTCCGTTCCCGTCCAGTACGGCGGCAAGCCCGCCCTTCTTGCGAATGGAGAATACCACAATCGGAATGTCGTTTTCCCGCGCCAGCGAGATCGCCGACGCATCCATGGCCTTCAGGTCCTTCGACAGCACCTCCAGATAGGAGAGCCGCTCGAAGCGCTCCGCCCCGGCAACGATCTCGGGGTCGGCTGCATAGATGCCGTCGACCTTGGTGCCCTTGAGCAGCGCGTCGCACCCCATTTCCGCAGCCCGCAGCGCCGCGGCGGTATCGGTGGTGAAGAACGGATTTCCGGTACCGCCCGCGAAGAGCACGATCCGCCCCTTTTCGAGGTGACGTTGCCCACGCCGTCGGATGTAGGGCTCGCAGACTGGCGCGATCGGGAGCGCGGAGAGGACCCGCGTCGCCTTGCCGAGCCGCTCCAGGGCATGCTGCATCGCGACCGCGTTCATCACCGTCGCCAGCATGCCGATGTAGTCGGCGGTCGCCCGCTCCATGCCGGCGGCGGCGTCGGAGGAGCCGCGGAAAATGTTGCCGCCGCCGACGACGGCGCAGACTTCCACGCCGCTCTCTTGAACCTCGGCGATCTCGCCGGCGAGCCGATCCACCGCCTCCCCGTCGATCCCGTAAGGCGCGTCTCCCCTCAGCGCCTCGCCGGATATCTTCAGGAGGATGCGCTTGTATCGGGGGGACGCGGTCATCGCGGGCTCAGGAACATGAGGCAGACGATCAGGACCCGAGTTGCGCGGCAACTTCAGCGGCGAAGTCCTTGCTCTCCCGCTCGATCCCCTCGCCCAGCTGGTAGCGGACGAAATCGCTCACCGCGACGGATGTGTCGAGCGTACCGGCAAGCGACTCCAGCACCGATTTCACTCGGGTTTCGCCGTCGATAACCCAGGTCTGCTCCAGGAGGACGACCTCCTCGAAGAACTTGCGCAGTCTGCCCTCGATCATCTTCTCGATGATGTTCTCGGGCTTGCCCTCGGCCCGCGCCTGCTCTGCGAGGACCCCGCGTTCGCGCTCGACCATTGTCTGATCCAGCGAGTCGCGCGAGACCGCCTGCGGGCTCGCGGCGGCGATGTGCATGGCGAGCTCATGGGCGGGGCGCTCTAGGCTTCGGCGGGCGCTTCGGACTCCACGGCGACCAGCACGCCGAGCCGGCCCAGCCCCTCGGCGGTCGGCATATGAATGTAATCGCCGACGACGCCCGCCGGCGTGGAAAGAACGACTGTCCGCCGCAGTTGGATGTTCTCGCCGATGGTGCCGACGAGGTTGGTGATCTCTTCGCCAACGGTGCGGTCGGTCCCCGGATAGGACGCCGCCGACAAACGCTCAAGATCGCCCTCGCAGTCCAACGCGATCCTGGCAACCTCGCGCACCACCGCCTGGAAGTCGGCGTTGCGTGCAACGAAATCGGTCTCGGCGTTGATCTCGACCATCGCCGCCTTGCCCGGCGCCGTCGCCATCCCGATCAGCCCTTCCGCGGCAGTGCGCCCGGCCTTGCGCGCGGCCTGGGCGAGGCCGCTCTTGCGCAACCAGTCGACCGCGGCCTCCAGCTCTCCGTCGGTCTCTGTCAGCGCCTTCTTGCAGTCCATCATGCCGGCGCCGGTCTTGTCGCGCAGTTGCTTGACCAGCGCGGCCGAAATCTGAGCCATCGTCCTCTACTCCCCGGTCCGAGGCGCAATCATGCGCCCGCCGCCTGTTCTTCACCGCCGCCTTCAGGCGCCTCAGGCGCCGGTGGCGCCGCGCCGGCATCGGCGGTGGTATCGGCGGTGGTATCGGCGGGAGTATCGGGGGCCGCGGCGCCATCGGCCGGCGCCTCCTCGGCCGTCTCGGTCGCGCCGCCATCGGCCGGCGGCAGATCCTCGGCCAGCCCCTCTTCGGCAGCGCCGATATCGGCACCCGAGGCGGCGAGCTCCACCTGAAGACCGTCGATGACCGCGCGAGCGAACAGGTCGCAATAGAGGTTGATCGCACGGATCGCATCGTCGTTGCCGGGAATGGGATGGGTGATGAGGTCGGGATCGCAATTGCTGTCGATGATCGCAACGACCGGGATGCCCAGCTTGCGCGCCTCCAGAATCGCGATGTCTTCCTTGTTCGTATCGATGACCACGAGCACGTCCGGCACGCCGCCCATGTCGCGAATACCGCCGAGCGCGAGGTCGAGCTTGTTGCGGCGGCGGACCAGTTGCAGCATCTCTTTCTTGGTCAGGCCGGCGGCTTCGTCGGCCAGCGTCGATTCGAGATCGGCGAGTGTCTTGATCGAGCCGAAATCGCCTTCCAGTTCGTCAGCATCCCGCCCAGCCAGCGGTGGTTGACATAATACTGGCCGCAACGGCGGCCGGTCTCGGCGATCGGCTTGGAGGCCTGCCGCTTGGTGCCGACGAAGAGGATGCGCCCGCCCCCTGCGGCGACGTCGCGCAGCGCGACGAGCGCCTGATGCAACAGAGGAACGGTCTGCTCCAGATCGATAACGTGAACGCCGTTCCGCACGCCGAACAGATAGGAGCGCATCTTCGGGTTCCAGCGCCGCGTCTGGTGCCCGAAATGCACGCCGGCTTCGAGAAGCTGGCGCATGCTGAATTCTGGCAGAGCCATTGGCTGTCCTTTCTCCGGTTCCTCCTCCGCGGATCATGCCCCGGCTAGGCCGGGCACCGGACCGGCACGCAACTCTTGAGTGCCGTCTTCCGCGTGTGAATTCCTGCCCAAGGCAGGTGGGCGCTTGATAACGCCGGCGCCCCCGGCGCGCAAGGCCTGAGCTGGCCGTTAACCGGGCTGCGCCGCCGGGAGTTCGCGAACGGCGGAGACACCGCCAAGCGCGCCGATCTCGGCGCTGAGAGAAGGGCTGAGCGCATAGGCAGTGGGTAGCTCGATCTCGACCGTGCCGGCGTCGCCCGTCTCGACAAAGAGCGCGATGCGCCCGCTCCCCTCTTGCCGCTTCGCGAGAATCGCGCTCAGCGGCTCAAGCACGTCCGTATCGTGCACGTGCACCGCAAGGCCGGTCAGGTTTCGCGAAAGCCTCGCATCGAGATCGTCGAAGCCTTGGGCGGAGAGCTTGACGTCTTCGCCCTCCATGCGGGCCAGCGCGGTCACCAGTACAGGCTTGCCGGGCTCCAGCACGCTGCGTCCGTCGCCGTAGGTCTCGCGGAAGGCTGCCACCTCGTAACTGCCGCTCGGGGTCGGAGAGCTGGATAAAGGCGTAGCGCCGCGAACCCGGCCCCCGCTCCCGCACCGAAAGCACCACGCCGGCCAGGCGGAAGCGGGTGACGCCCGACGCAAGCTGCTGTGCCACCTGAGCCGACGGCGTGACCGAGAGCCCTTTGAGCGCATCCACGTAGGAATCGAGCGGATGGGCGGAGAGATAGAAGCCCACCGCCTCTTGCTCAGCCGCCAGCCTCTCGTTCAGGTCCCAATCCTCCTGCTCCGGCAGGCTCGGCCGCGGCGCGAGAGTCGCATCGGCGCCGTCGAAGAGCGAAGCCTGCGTGCGCGAGAGCTGGGCCGCGCCGGAAAAAGCAAGGAGGACCTCGGCGCCGTCGGCTAACTGCCGTCGGTTTGACGTGAGGCTGTCGAAGGCGCCGGCCTTGGCCAGGTTCTCGATCTGGCGGCGGTTGATCTGGTGCGGATCGATGCGGCCGGCGAAATCGAAGGGATCGCGATACGGCCCGCTCCCGGCCCGCTCGTCCGCCAGTGCCGTCATCGCCTGAACGCCGACATTCCTGATCGCGCCGAGCGCGTAGCGGATCGCCTTGGTCCCGTCGGCCAGCTGCTCAACCGAAAACGTCGCCCTGGACGCGTTGATGTCGGGCGGCAGCAGAGGAATCCCAAGCCGCTCGAGCTCCCGGCGGAACAATTCGAGCCGGTCGATATTGTTGATCTCCAGGCTCATCGAAGCGGCCAGGAACTCGACCGGGTGGTTGGCCTTGAGGTAGGCGGTCTGGTAGGCGACCAGCGCGTAAGCCGCGGCGTGGGACTTGTTGAAGCCGTAGCCTGCAAATTTCGCGACCAGTTCGAAGATGCGGCTGGCGTCGGCCCGTGAAACGTCGTTGGCGAGAGCGCCTTTGACGAAGGTCTCCCGCTGAGCGTCCATTTCCGCCTTGATCTTCTTGCCCATGGCGCGGCGCAGCAGATCGGCGCCACCCAGGCTGTAGCCGGCGAGAACCTTGGCAATCTCCATCACCTGCTCCTGGTAGATGATGACGCCGAAGGTCTCTTTGAGAATGCCGGTCAGCTTCGGGTGCAGATAGTCCGGCTTCTCGCGCCCGTGCTTGCAGGCGATGTAACGGGGAATGTTGTCCATCGGCCCGGGGCGATAGAGCGCGACGAGCGCGATAATGTCCTCGATACAGTCCGGCTTGAGGCTGCGGAGCGCGTCCCTCATGCCTGCGCTTTCCAGCTGGAAGACGCCCATCGCAGTACCGCGGCCCAGCATCTCGTAGGTGGCCTCGTCGTCGAGCGGGACAGAGGCGAGGTCGATCTCGACCCCGGCCTCGCGCAGAATTTTGCTCGCATCGTCGAGCACGGTGAGCGTCTTGAGGCCCAGCAGGTCGAACTTCACGAGCCCGGACATCTCGGCGTACTTCATCGAGAACTGTGTCGCCGGCATCTCGGAGCGCGGATCGCGATAGAGGGGCACCAGCTCGCTGAGCGGCCGGTCGCCAATGACGATGCCCGCAGCATGGGTCGAGGCATGGCGGTACAGCCCTTCGAGCTGGAGCGATATCTCGATCAGGCGGGCGATTGTCGAATCGTTGTCGCGTTCGGCCGCGAGCCGGGGCTCGGTGTCGAGCGCTTGCTGCAGCGTCACCGGGTTGGCCGGATTGTAGGGAACCAGCTTGCACAGACGGTCGACGCGGCCGTAGCCGAGTCCGAGCACGCGCCCGACATCGCGGAGCACCGCGCGGGCCTGAAGCTTACCGAAGGTGATGATCTGGGCGACCCGGTCCTTGCCATAGCGCCGGCAGACATAGTCGATGACCTCGTCGCGGCGCTCCGGGCAGAAGTCGATGTCGAAGTCGGGCATCGACACTCGTTCGGGATTGAGGAAGCGCTCGAACAGCAGGCCGAAGCGGAGCGGGTCGAGATCGGTGACGGTCAGCGCCCACGCCACCACCGAGCCGGCGCCCGAACCCCGGCCCGGGCCGACCGGGATCCCCTCTCCCCGCGCCCAGCGCACGATGTCGGCGACGATGAGGAAGTAGCCCGCGAACTGCATCTCGATGATAACGCCGAGCTCGTAGGCGAGCCGCTCACGATAAGGCGTCGCCGCTTCCTCGCGGGCCGCGCTGTCCATATCGTCGCGGTAGACTTCGGCTTCGAGGCGGCGCTCCAATCCCTCTTGGCCTGCCGCAGCGTTTCGGCCTCGCTCGTGTCGCCGCCGGTGGTGAACGCCGGCAGGATCGGCTTCCTCACCGGCGCCATGACGGCGCAACGCGCGGGCGATCACGACGGTGTTGTCCACGGCCTCCGGTAAATCGGCGAAGAGCGCGCGCATCTCCTCTGCCGGGCGGAAGAAGTGCCGAGGGGTCAGGCGGCGCCGGTTCTCGTCCTCGACGTGGCTGTTCTGAGCCACGCAGAGCAAGGCGTCGTGGGCCTCGTGCATCTCGGAACGGAGGAAATAGACGTCGTTCGTCGCAACCAGCGGCAGATCGAGCTCGTCGGCAAGCTCGATCAGGTGCGCCTCGATCTGCTCCTCCTCCGCGAGGCCGTGGCGCATGAGCTCGACATAGAGCCGGTCCGGAAAGATCTCGCCGAGTCGCGCCAAGAGGGCGCGCGCGGCCTCGACCTGACCGTCCAGGAGGAGCCGCCCGACCGGGCCGGCAGGCCCGCCCGTGAGCGCCAGCAATCCCTCCGCCCGCGCGGCCACCTCGTCCAATGTGACGAGGGGCCGCCCGCCGGCGCCGTCTTGGATAAAGGCTTCGCTGGTCAGCGCCGTGAGGTTGCGATAGCCGGCTTCGTCCTGCGCGAGCAGCAGCAGCCACGATACCGCGCGGCTCTGTTGGCCGGGTTGGTCGGTGCGCGTGCCGATCGCGAGGTCGCAGCCGATGATGGGCTGCACGCCCCCACCGCTGCATGCCTCCGAGAATGCCAGCGCACCGAACATGTTGCCGCGATCGGCGATGGCGCAGGCTGGCATTCGCCAGTCACCGCACGTCTCGACGAGCTCGTCGAGCCTGACCGCCCTCCAGCAGCGAATAGGCGGAGCGGACCCGAAGGTGGACGAAATCGGTGTGGGCCATGGCGATGCCAACTCGAATCGATGCAGGACGCGGACGGCCGATAGATGCCACACGCCAGCGCGGCCGTCACGCATCGCCGTGGCGAGCGCGGAACGCTATGAAACAAAGACGCAACGGAGATGGCTCTAAGAGCCGCGCTTTGCTAGGATCGGCGATCTGCCGATTGAATTGGGGCCCAGCGACATGGACGAGCACGGACAAGGACAGACTTATCGGGAAGAGACCGACTTGCGCGAGACCATGGGCGAAGCGATGGAGCTCGCGGAGAAGAAGTGCGTGTCCTCGCTCGACAAGCACTGCAAGGCGTTCATCGAGCGCTCGCCCTTCCTCTGCATCGGCACCAGCCGCTCTGGCGGCCGCGCCGACGTGTCGCCGCGCGGCGATCCGCCCGGTTTCGTCCAGATTCTGGACGACAACACGCTCTTCATTCCGGATCGGCCCGGCAACAACCGGCTCGATACGATGACCAACATCATCGAGAACCCGAATGTCGGCCTGCTCTTCCTGGTCCCCGGATTCGACGACACGCTGCGCGTGAACGGCAAGGCGACGATCATCCGGGACGATGCGTTGGCACAGGCCACCGCGGTCAACGGCAAGGAGCCGAAGGTAGGCATCAAGGTCGAAGTCCAGGAGGCATTCCTGCACTGCGCCAAGGCGTTCAAGCGCTCGCGGCTCTGGGACGAAGAGAGCAAGCAGGACCGCCGCGAATTGCCATCGCTTGGCCGGATAATCCTGGAGCAGATGGCGACGCCGGAAGAGCCGCCAACGGAAGAGACGCTCAAGGAGACCGACGAGTTCGTCGAGGAGAACTATCGCACCGAGCTCTATTAGCCCGGAACCGAGACTCCGGCCTCACCGGCGCCGCGCGGTGCACGCCAGCAGCAGGAGCTTCGCCATGATGGAACGGATCGACGTCACCCCCGAGTTTATGGAGAGCGAGCGAGTCGCGCGCTTCAAGGACCTGAAGTCGAGCGCTCATGCGTTCGTCGATGCGCTGATCCCGGGCTATGAGCGGGACATCTACAACATCATCGGCCGCGGCGTGGTCGAGGATAAGGAACTCAAGCCGCCGATCACCGACAACCGCGACTTCAATGTCGGCCTGATCAAGGCGGAGCCCGGCAAGGGCGCTTCGCTGCACATCACGAGACCAACGAGGTGTTCATCCCGCTGACCGGCAAGTGGGGCATCTACTGGCAGAACAGCGACGGCCAGCGCCACGAGGTCGTGCTCGAGCCTTACGACACCGTATCGGTCCCCATCGGCGCGAGTCGGGGCTTCCGCAACGCGGGCGACGGGACGGCGCTCATGCTCGCCGTGGTGGGCGGCACCGATCCGGGCAAGGTTCACTGGCCCGAGGAGACGATCGAGGAAGGGCAGCGCCACGGCATCGGCCTCGACGAAAACGGCGACCTCGTGCGGCTCGAAGAAACCTGACCGGGAGAACGATAGCCCGCTTGGCCGCAGACGAGGCATGGATTGTGTGAAGGGCTGGGCCGCAGGCCCAGAGCGCGCAACCGCGCGCCGCGCCGAATGGCGCGTAGCCAAGCGAGCGGAGCGAGCGCCCGGCGATTGAGGGATATGAAAATGTGCGGCGGAACGCCCCACGTTCCGCCGCCGCTTGACAGCCTGTAACCACGCGGTAATGTCGCCGCGTCCGTGACACTAGCAAGAGCCGAGCGTATCCGATGGCCAAGGCCAACAGCATCATCATCAAGCTCGTCAGCTCGGCGGGTACGGGGTTCTACTACACGACGCGCAAGAACCCGCGCGGTCAGACCGAAAAGCTTTCGCTCCGTAAGTTCGACCCCGTGGCCCGCAAGCACGTGATCTTCAAGGAAGCGAAGATCAAGTAGAACCCGCAGGATCCGTCATGCCATACGGGCGGCAGCGCCGGCGCGCCGGCGTTGCAATCTCGGTCGCGTTAGCCGTGGGCCTGCTTCAGTCGCTCGTCCTCGCACCGGCTGCGGCACGGGCGGATATGCAGGCCGGTTGGCAAGCGTACACGGCCGGCGACTACGAGGCGGCGATCAGGGAATGGCAGCCGCTCGCCGAAGACGGCGACTATCAGGCCGCGTACGCGCTCGGCATGGCGTTTCAGATCAAAGGGGAGCCCGCGAGCGCGGTGCCCTGGTACGAGCAGGCGGCCAGCGCCGGGCTGGCCGAGGCGCAGATCCTGCTCGGTACGATCTATGCGAGGGGCAACGATGTGCCCCGCGACCTCGTGCGCGCGTACGCCTGGCTCTACCGGGCAGTCGAGAAGAACAGCCCGAATGCCCAGCTCATCCTCGAGTCCGTCGCGGGCCTGATGACCCCTGAAGAGATCGAGGCGGCGAAGGCGCTCAGCGCGACGCTTTAGCGCTCGCTTCCTGCCGGTGCGGGCCCCTGACGGCTCCACCCCTTCCCCGCATTCACGCTTTGCGACGTCCTGAACGTGCTCGGCACTTGTGCGTTTTGGCAGCCGGTGGCCATCGATGTTATCCTGATTTGCGCCGACCGCGTCGAGAGTTGACGGCGGTCGAGGCGCGGCGGAGAGGAAGAACGAGGCCACGTGCCGGACGGCGGCGACAATGCCGCCTGGGAGCACAAAGCATAGGAAGCGCGCACCCATCTCGAAGACGTCTCGCGCCGACGCGGCCAAGGCCTGCGCCGGTGCCCATAGAGGGGAGAAGACATGATGGCAGTGAAGTTGCACAGAATGGCGTTGTCGGCGCTCGTAGCGGTCGGCCTGGCCGCAGTCGTCACCGGCGCACAGGCGCAGGAGATCGACGCGATCGCGGTGCTGGTGCCTGAGCAGGGCACCGACTACGGCTGGAACCAGCAGGGCGTCGATGCGGCCAGGGCGGTCGGCGAGGCCATGGGGCTCGAGGTGATTGCGGCCGAGGGCCTCGGCTACGGCGACGTGCGCCCGACGCTGCGCGAGCTTGCGGCGGAAGGCGCCGACCTGATGATCGCCCATGCCAGCGGCTACAACTCCGCCGCGCCGGAAGTCGCAAACGAAACCAAGGTCGCGGTCGCGATCGTCGACGATCCCGGCGCCGCGACACCGGGCCTCGTCGCCGACTACACGGTGAGCGGGCATCAGGGCGCCTATCTCGCCGGCATGCTGGCGGCGCAGCTCTCGCGCACGGGCACGCTCGGCATCGTCGTCTCCGGCGAGCCGCCGTCGTGGAACTCGCAGTCCGCCGGCTTCGCCATGGGGGCCCGGGCGGCCAATGCTGACGTGAATCTCGTCTACGCGGTGATCGGGCCGGCGGCCTATGCCGACGCGGCCGGCGGCAAGCGGGTCACGGAAGCAGTGATCGCCGCCGGCGCCGACATCGTCTTCGGCCAGGGCGACGGCTCCACCTTCGGCATGCTCCAGGCGGTCGAGACGGTGCCGGCCACAGACGGCGGCAAGGTGCTCTTCATCGACGTGATCGGCGACAAGACCGAGATCGACAAGGGGCATCTGCTCTCGTCGGTGGTCTGGAACCTGGTGCCGGTCTACACCGCGATGGTCGAGGACCTGAAGAGCGGCGCGTTCGGCACAGTGAACTATGCCATCCAGCTCGCCGATGACTCGGTACAGCTGTGCGCACCGCGCACATCTCAGACGAGATGTGGAGTGGGCTGATGGATACCCGGGCCAAGATCGTCGCGGGCGAGATCGAGGTGCCCGCGATCTGGGAGGCCACGGACGTGCGCGCGATGATGTCGTCGGTCGAGGCGTCTGAGTAGCGCACATAGAGAGCGCGGGCGGCGCCCGACGGCGGAGAAGCTCCGCACGCCGGGCGTCCCTGCCTTGTTTCCCGCGGCCGCCGCGGCGCCGCCCTAGCTGACCGGGAGCACGTGGCCTGACCATGGCGTCCCGTCCTCTCGCGCGCGCCGCGGGCACGGCCGAGCCGATCGTGCTGCTGCGGGGCATCACGAAACGCTTCCCCGGAGTCGTTGCCAACGACGAAATTTCGCTCGCCGTCTACCCGGGGGAGGTTCACGCGCTGCTCGGCGAGAACGGCGCCGGCAAGTCGACGCTGATCTCGATTCTCTCGGGCATGCAGCGCCCGGATGCGGGTACGATTGAGATTCGCGGCCGCAAGACCCGGATCGCGAGCCCGCGCACTGCGCTCGATCTCGGCATCGGCACCGTCTATCAGCACCCGACGCTGGTGCCGTCCTTGACCGTGCTCGAGAACCTGATGCTGGGTGCCTCGTGGCGTGCCCCCATGAACCGGACGGCGACCCGCGCAAGGCTGAGCGAGATCACCGCGTTGCTCGGCATCGCTCTGCCGGAGGACGCGCCGCTCGGCTCGCTCTCGCTCGGCCAGCAGCAGCTCGCCGAAATCGTCAAGGCGCTCTGGCGGGGCGAGAGCGTGCTGATCTCGACGAGGCGACCTCGATGTTGACACCCCAAGGCGTCGAGGATCTGGGCCGGGTCATCGGGCGGCTGCGCGACGCCGGAATCGCCGTCCTCTTCATCACCCACAAGCTGCACGAGGCGGTGAGCTTCGGCGACCGGGTGACGGTGCTCCGGCAGGGACGCAAGGTCGGCTCCCTCGCGCCGGAAATGCTCGCCGGGCTCGCGCCGCAGGAGGCGATCGACCATATCGTCGATCTCATGTTCGGCGCCGCGGCCGACGGGACTGTGCCGGAACGGAGCCGCGCAGGGCGGGAGGCCGCGCCGGGCAAACGTGTGGCGATCGAGGTGAACGGCCTCCGCCCGGCTGGCAGCCCGGCAGCGGCCGGCGATGGCGCTGTGAGCTTCGCGGTACGTGAAGGGGAAATCTTCGGGATCGCGGGCGTGGACGGCAACGGCCAGAAACAGCTTGCCGAGGCGATCGCCGGCCAGCGCCCCGCCGATGCAGGCAGCATCGTGCTCGACGGCGAGGCGATCGAGGGGCTGAGCGTGCGCCAGCGCCAGCACGCGGGGCTGCGCTACGTCACCGACGACCGGCTCGGCGAGGGCACGGTGTCCGCCTTCCCGGTCGGCCTCAACCTGCTGTTGAAGCGCATCGGCGACGCGCCGTTCTGGCGCCACGGCATCATCCGCAACGCCGAGGTTGAACGCCACGCGCGCGCGCTCATCGCCGAGCACGATGTCCGTGTGCCGGGGCCCGGAACCCCGCTCGGGCACCTCTCCGGCGGCAACGTGCAGAAGGCGCTGCTCGCCCGCGAGCTCGACAACCAGCCCATGGCCGTCATCTACAACAAGCCCACGTATGGGCTCGACCTGAACAATATCCGCCGCGCCCGGCTGGCGATCTGCGAGCGCGCCGACCTGGGGGTCGCGACGATCCTGATTTCGACGGACCTGGACGAGATCCTCGAGCTTGCGGACCGCATCGGCGTCATGCTCGACGGCCGCATGGTCGGCATCGTGGAGAATGACGGCGATGCGGCGCGGCGGGTCGGCGAGCTCATGATCGGGGTCGGCTCCTAGCCCCGAAACCGCGATGACGCAGGCGCCGACGGCACATGAAGAGCGGCCCGCGCCCGGCCCAACTGCGCTGCGTCGCTGGGCCGCGCCGGTCGCAGGCGCGCTGCTGCCGATCGTGCTTGCGCTTGGCGTCGGCGCGCTGATCCTGCTGGTGCTCGGCGCCGATCCCGGTGCCTTCTACTACAACATCATCCGGCGCGGCCTGCTGAGCTGGATCGGTTTGCAGGACACGATCACCCGCTGCGCACCGTTGCTCCTGCTCGGCGCGAGTCTGATCGTCGCCTTCCGCGCAGGCCTCTGGAACCTCGGTGTCGACGGGCAGTTCCTGCTCGCCGCAGTGTTCGCCGCCGCGCTCGCGCCGGCTCTCGTCACGGTGCTGCCGGTTTGGCTGGTGCTGCCCCTGGTGATGGTCGTGGCGATGGCCGTGGGTGCCGTCTGGTCTCTGGTGCCGGCGGTGCTCAAGGCCTACCACGGCGTCAACGAGATCGTGACCACGCTGATGATGAGCTTTTTGGGCATCAGCGCGGCGAACGTCCTCATCAAGCTGCCCTTCGACGATCCCACCACCACCGTGCCGCAGACCGAGACCCTCGCGACCGACGACCGGCTGCCGCGGCTTTTCGGCACCACCATCAATGTCGGGGTGATCGTCGGCGTTGCGGTAATCCTCTTCATCCACTGGCTGATGACGCGGACGGCGTTCGGCCTGCGACTGCGCGTCGTCGGCGCGAACCCGCGGGCGGCGGTGCATGTGGGGCTCCCGCTCGGCGCATTGATGGTTGCGGTGTTCGCGCTCAGCGCCGGCCTCGCGGGCCTCGCCGGTGCGGTCGAAATTCTCGGCGTCTGGGGCAATGTGCGGGCCGACTGGAACCCGGCCTACGGCCTGATGATCATCCCGCTGGTCTTCCTCGCCCGCTTCAACGGCATCGCCGTGATCGGCTTCGTCTTCTTCTTCGCGGTGCTCTCCATCGGCGGCGAGACCGCGTCGCGGAAGGCGGGGCTCCCCAACTATCTTCATTCTGGTAGCTGGTCGCGCTCATGCTGATCTTCCTGGCGCTGACCGAGTGGCTGGGCCAGCGCCGCCAGATGGCAGCGCGGGACTGACCGGCCATGTCGCAGGGCCTGCTCAGCGACGCCTTCCTGATCTCGCTGATTGCGGGCGCGGTGGCGGCCGGCTGCCGCTGCTGCTCGCGGGGCTCGGCGAGCAGGTCTCCGAGAAGGCGGGCGTCCTCAACATCGGCATCGAAGGGATGATGCTGTTCGGCGCCTATGCCGGCTTCGCCACCGCCTTCGTCACGAACTCGCTCTGGCTCGGCTTCCTCGCGGGCGCGGCGGCGGGCCTCGTGATGGCGATGCTGATGGCGCTCTTCTGCGTCCGCCTTGGGCTCAACCAGATCGTGATCGGGATCGCCCTCACCCTCGGCGCGGACGGGATCACCGCCCTCCTCCACCACGTGCAGTTCAGCCGCACCTATCCGCGATTGCCACGGGTCGAGACCCTGGACATTCCCGGGCTGAGCGAGATCCCGATCATCGGGCCCAGCCTCTTCTCCCGGCACCCGATGGTCTACATCGCGGTCATTCTGGTCGTGGCGCTCGCCCTGCTTTTCCGCAGCACCAACGTGGGGCTCAACCTCCAGGCCGCCGGCGACAAGCCCGACGCGCTCGACGCGGCCGGGATCAGCGTGACCGCGACGCGCACGTGGTCGGTGCTCTTCACGGGCGTCATGGCGGGGATGGGCGGCGCCTACATGGCGATGATCGGAGCCGGAATCTTCGTGCCCTTCATGACCGGCGGCGCCGGGTTCATCGCCATCGTTCTGGCCATGCTGGCGCGGGGCGGCCGATCTGGGTGCTGATCGGCGCCTTCCTCTTCGGCGCGAGCCTCTCGCTCACCACCGCGCTGCAAGTGGGCGGCGTCAATGTGCCGACCGACGTCGTGCAGATGCTGCCCTTCCTCATGGTCATGATCGTGCTGGTGATATTCGCCCGGCGGGCGAGCCTGCCGGCGGCGCTCGGCCTGCCCTACGTGCGGGGGCAGCGTTAGACTGGCCAGAGCAAGAGTGGGAGCGAGGCCATGAAAGAGACGCGGGTCTACATTCTCGACGGCGGCACGCTGGTGATCGACGGCTTCCACATTTACTGGAACCGGGGGCCGGCGGGTGAGGTGCGCTTCCCCGTCTACAGCGTGCTGATCGACCATGCCGACGGGCTCTACCTCTTCGACACCGGCTTCGACTGCGACCACGTGAACGCGGTGCTGCCCTTCGAGAAGCCGGTGCAATCCGAGAAGCAGACCCTGCTGGGCGCGCTCGCGCTCGCCGGCTACCGGCCGCAGGACATCGACTACGTCGTCAACTCGCACTACCACTTCGACCATTGCGGCGGGAACCGCCATCTGCGCGAGGCCTGCACGGTCTGCCACGCGCTCGAATTCGCCCAGTGCAAGGCGCCCGCGCCCTTCGAGATGCTGGGCTACTCCGACATGAGCTTCCACGCCGACCTCTACCGCGAGCGGCTCGCGCAAGAGGGGCGCGCCGTACCGGATGATCCCGAGAGCGACATCTGGACTCCGCGGGTCGAGCTCGTGAGCGGCGATCAGGAGATCGCCAAGGGTGTGCATCTGATCGAGACGCCGGGCCACACGGCGGGCCACTACAGCCTGCTTGTCGAGCTTGCCGGGCGGCGGCCGATGCTCTTCACCGCCGATGCGGCGTACACGCGCAAGGGATTGGAGCAGGAGATCATCCCGAGCTTCCACCTCGACCCGGTGAAGGCGGTCGCCTCGATGAAGCGTCTCAAGGACGTGGCAGTCGAGCGGGATGCCGAGATCTTCGTCGGCCATGATGGCGAGGATTTCGCCGGCTACGCCACCGCGCCCGCCTACTACAGTTAGCCCGCATATCTCACCGGGATCATGGTCCAATTCCCTCTTCCGTCTCGGGCAGAGCAACAAATTTTAAAGCGGGATTCGCCGGGATTAAGTGGGATTAACTGGGATAAGTGGGATTAGGTGGGATTCCATGGGGCAAAGTCGCGCACGCCCGAGTCGCGCGCGCCTGTAGGTCACGCGTGCGTCACATAGGGTCGTGCGCGCGGAATGGGATCGCGCACGCCCGCCCCTGATCCCGCCCGCGGCGGTCCGCTCGCACACGCTCTTCATCGCGTGATCCTGACGCAGAAGGGGCGCACCCTGCATCGCACCATGGTCCGGGGAGAATCGGGAATGGAGCGGCCGGGGCCGTCGTGAGAAGACGGGGCTAGAGGCTGCCGTCGATCAGCGCCCGGCCGAAGAAGTCGACGACACGCAGGTAATGCGTGTTCTGGGCTTCGGGTCGCAACACGTGACCCTCGCCCTTGTAGATGTGGACTTCCGGCCTACGCCCGGCAGCGCGCAGCCGCTTCGCAAGGCGCTGCGTGCGGTCGGCACCCCAAACGGCATCCTGCTCGCCGTGGCTGATGAACAAGGGGCCGTCGTACCGCTCGATCTCGATCTGTGAGCCAGGTGCGAGCGCGTCGGACTCGCCGCGCCAGCGCCATGCGCGTTCGGTCGGCTTCAGCGGCAAGACGATGCCCGTTCGGACTTTTCTGGCACTGAACGCCCCGACGATGGTGTCGGATGGGGCGTGGACGGCGACGGCATCCGGCAGCCCGATACTGCCATCGCGAGCCATGAGGCTGGTGACGAGAAGGGCGTGTTCGGCGCCTCTCGACGTCCCGTACAAACCGACCTGTCCGCTCGTGATGCCGCTCTCCCGCATCCAGATCAGCATGGATTCGGTTTGGTCGAGATCGACGTCGAGAATGTCGCCCGCGTGCCAGGCGTCCCCACCGCGACTGTACCCCGGCGCGATGGTGCAAAACCCGCTGCCGGCCATGAGAAGGGCTACCCACTGGGACCAGCCGGCGCGACTTCCCTCGCTGCCGTGAAGAACAACGATACCCGGACATATGGCGCCGATCGGGACATATAGTTGATGCCCCCTCGGACCCTGCTCAATTTCGATGTCGAATGCCACGCGGGGTGCTATTCAATAGAACCGATCCATCTCCGTTCGAGTTCGACGATAGCCCTAACACAGTTGGTTTACCATCGAATGCCGGCGCTTTCCTTGTTTACGAACAAGCATCGATATTTGCTTTCCTAGTGTTCAGTTAGCCATCTGGTAGACTCGTCGGATGTTGAGGGAAGCCGGTTCGTGATCCGCAGCCTTGTTGCGGAACTGCGGGCCGACGCCGGCTCGGCCATGCTGCCGACTGCGCTATCCACGGGCCTCATTGCCGCCGTGATCGTGCTGGTCGGCAAGGTCGCCATAGCGTCGATCATCTTCTCGGGTCCCCTGTCCCCGCTTGTCCCTCGCGGCACGGGTGCGATCCTGTTTGGCACGCTCGTCATGTGCTTTCTCACCGCGTTAACTTGCACTTACAAAGGAACTATTTCCGTACCCCACTTCGCGCCGGCTGCCGTGCTGCTGACGGTCGGCGGTGCGGTCGCCTCCGTCATGGTTTCCGCCAGCAGCGAGGCGGTGTTCGCGACGATGATCGTCATCGTCGGCCTGTCGACCCTGGCGACGGCGATCTGTTATCTGCTCATCGGACGATTTCGGCTCGCCTATCTGTTCCGCTTCATGCCCTACCCCCTGGTGGGCGGGTTTCTTGCAGGGTGCGGCTGGTTTCTAGCCAAGAGCAGCGTCGCAGTGGCAAGCGGAATCACGATGACGTGGGAGACGTTGCCCACGCTGGCCGAGATCGAAACGATCCAGAAGTGGGCGCCGGGCGTGGTCCTTGGTGTCCTGCTGCTCGTTGTCACCAAGGTCCGGCCCCACTATCTCATCCTGCCCTCATCGGCGGTGCTCGCAGTCGGGATCTGCCACGCAACGCTCTTCGCCCTCGATATTTCCCTCGCGGAAGCCACCGCAGCAGGCATCCTGTTCGAGGGTATTCTGGCGGAGTCCGCCTGGCCCCCCATCGGGCTGAACGATCTCGCTCTTGTGGACTGGGGTGTCGTGACGTCCCAGCTACCCGGCATCCTGGCCGTGGTGCTGGTCGCTTTGATCAGCCTCGTGTTTCATGCGGGCGGACTGGAATTGATCAGTGGCGTCGAGATCGACCTGAACAGGGAGTTCCGCGCAGAAGGCGTGTCGAGCCTGTTGGCCGGGCTCGGCGGCAGCTCCCCCGGCTGCAACTCGATCCCCAACTCCGCGATTAGCCATGCGACCGGGGCCGAAACGCGGCTGACCGGGATCACGGTCGCGCTCATCGTCGGCCTGATCCTGTTCGTCGGCGGCGACGTCCTGGCGCTGCTCCCGACGTCGGTGCT